GCAGAGCCCAACGCGGAGCTTGAACTCACAAACCGTAAGATCATAACCTGAGCTGAAACCAAGAGTTGGTGCATAACTGACTGAGCCACCTAGGCGCCCTCAGACATGCTCTGTTTTGGAGACAAAACATCCACTTGTGTGTCATCGGCGTTTCTTTGCTTTCCTCCCTGTCGCCATTTTAGCATTTGTGGCCTGCTGCACACCTCCCCAGGGAGACTTGAGGGTAGGGACCAGACCTGCAGTATCCTCAGGCAATCCCTGGTTCTTCCAGACCCTTCTATCATATAGGCTCCCTGTTCTCTTCCCCCACCTGTCTCCCCATCTTTATCTGCTTATGGGTATCGCTAATTAACTGCAAAGATAAGATTCTTTAGTCCCTTTCCTTTTGCTGACAAAAAATTACAGAAATACATTGAAACGACTAAAAACTTAGTTTCCCAGGCTGTGTGACGGTGGTGGAGGGGCTGTGGCTTAGGAGACCTGAGCTGTGTGCTCACCTCTACGTGGTTGTGTGGCCTTAGCCAGCTATCTAGCACCATTTTGTTTCCTCATCCGGATCCCTGCCTCTTTTACTAAGGAGGATCGGCTAGGTGGCCTCTTCAAAAAGTACTTAAGGTATTTGATTACTTTGGCTTCATTTTCTGTGTCCACAAGCTACAGGGGCATTTAGAATGAGAACAGGAAGGTTTAGAATAAAGCCCATGGCCTCTTGACCACACATTTCTTCTAAGGGTTCCTGTACCAGTCTGTAGAGTGTAATGTCTCATTAAGGAGTGCTTCGCTTCAAGGAAGGGTGTTAGAAATGTCACAGATCCTTGTTTGGCCCTTTATTAGCTCCCCTGGGTTATTATAATTCTGAGAAGTAAGTAGAACTGTGAAGGAGAGTAACATAGCAGAAATGATAAAATGATGCTGCAGTTCTCAAAATGTGGCTCCGGTATCATCACCATCATCTCATCTGGGAACCTGTTAGAAATGCAGATTCTTGGGCCTGACTCTAAATCGACTGAAGCCGATACTGTGTGTAAGCAGTCTGTTTTATCAAGCCCTCCAGAAGATTCTGATGTGCTGGTTTGGGGACCTGCAGTAAAACAAGGCTATAGGATGGATTTCAGTTAATTACCTCAATAGGAGAACAAATAGGTTAACAGGTAAAAAAGCTCTCCCTTCCCTGCTCCTGGCACTCCCCCCCCCCCCATGCTTCTAGACCATAGAAATGTTTGCACATTTGGGAAAATATCTTTTTTCCCCCACTAGTAATATAATTCAGACAAACCTAGGTATGAAACCAAACGCAAAAAAGTAGGTCAGGTGAACAAGAAAAGCCTTGCTTTGTGTTTCTTGCTTTTTGCTGAATCAAAGGCTTGTCAATTACAACAATACAGGACTTGTCAATTGCTAAGGGCTGGCTGGTCAAAGGTGCATGTTAGGTGTAGACCATCCCTGGGGCAGAAGAAAGAGCATTTTGCTTTTTGAGTGAGCCCCATAGGGGGTTGAATCCTGGCTGTCTCTATCTGACTGGATAGCCTCAGAGAGGTTACTTAATTTCTTTGGGCCTCAATTTCCTCACCTATAAAAACAGCACACATGCCTGTCAGGATGGTTGGGAGTCCATGAAAGCATTGAGCACACACCCAGTTCAGGATCTCACTTCCCCTGACTCAGCCCTTACATGGATGATAATGTGTTCTTCACAAGGAGTGATCTTCATTAACCATTGGGGAATTTATGCCGGACAGGTCATTACGTATTTTCCAGAGAATAGCACAAGCTTCGGTCAAAAATAACTGTGTTTTATGTTTGGAAGTATTTCGATCTGAGGTCTTGAAACCACAGAATATCATTTCATCCTGGTCCATTTTTTTTCAATTAAATATTCTGAGTCTACTTTTTATTTTGAGGGCTATTCACAGTTTAGTGGATATTCTCCGGTTGTGTTGAAGGAGCTAGTTCGAGAAAAGGCAGATTAATTGATCTGTCTAAGATAATTGGTTTTTTATTTGCTGAAAGATTTTTGAAATTAACTCTATTGCTTACCTGCAAGTGATGTACAGGAATCATTTGTCCCAGACCAAAATGAAGAGCTAAAGCAAAGCAAAATGAAATTTAAGTATTTTAAGGATTCTGAAAATTGTCCTAAAAATGCCGTCAACCTCAAGAACGAGTTCTATTCCAGTAAACTATACTCCCCACACAAACAGGTTTGTCTCCCCATTCATTACTAAGGAATGAGTGAAGAGGGCTCCCCCGCTCCCGCCATAATTCCCAGCCAAGTCTTAGGAAATACCCCGCATGCACCAGCCTCCCCAACCTTAATCTTTTTAAATATAGACGTTCAGTGTTTTCCCTGAAATGCATGACCAGGGCCTGACATTGTGAAATGAAGGGCTCATTATGCATGCCTCACTCTTTCCCTTTCTTTCTAGAGAGATTATGAATAACACTAGTGACTGGTTCCTATGACATATTTTTTTAAATGTTTATTCATTTTCGAGAGAGACAAAGGCAGAGTCAGAGTGCAAGTGAGGGAGGAGCAGAGAGAGAGGGAGACACAGAACCTGAAGCAGGCTCCAGGCTCTGAGCTGTCAGTTATCACAGAGCCCGATGTGAGGCCTGAATCCATGAACTGTGAGATCACGACCTGAACCGAAGCCAGATGCCCAACTTACTGAGCCACTCAGGAGCCCTTGACATTTTTAAATAAGTATTTAATTTTTAAGTAATCTCTATACCCAACACAGGGTTCAAACTTATAACCCCGAGATTAAGAGTCATGTGCTTCTACTAGGAATTTATCCAAAGGATATAGGAGTGCTGATTCATAGGAGGCACATGTACCCCAATGTGTATAGTAGCGCTACCAACAATAGCCAAATTATGGAAAGAGCCCAAATGTCCATCAACTGATGCATGGATAAAGAAGATGTGGTTTATATATACAACAGAATACTACTTGGCAATGAAAACGAATGAAATCTTGTTATTTGCAGCAATGTGGATGGTACTGGAGGGTATTATGCCATACCCTCCAGAGGTCAGAGAAAGACAGATATCATTTTACTCTTGTGGAATTTGAAAAACTTAACAGAAGACTATGGGGGGGGGGAAGGGAAAAAATAGTTACAGAGAGGGAGGGAAACCATAAGAGAGTCTTAAATACAGAGAACAAATTGAGAGTTGATGGGGGTGGGAGGGGAAAATGGGTGATGGGCATTGAGGAAGGCACTTGTTGGGATGAGTAGTGGGTGTTGAATGTAAGTGATGACTCAACAGGAATTTACTCCCGAACCCAAGAGCACACTGTATGCACTACATATTAGCTAACTTGACAGTAAATTGTGTGTGTGTGTATATATATATATATAAAGTCATACGCTCTACTGACTGAGCCAGCCAGGTGTCCCCTGTGACTTTAAAAAGGAGATCTGGGGTCCACTCCACCCTCCATTCTTACATCATTATCCAAAGCTGCTTTATATATGTATATATATATTTCCAGTTTTATTGGGAAATAATTAACAATTTTTTTGAGAGAGAGCGCACAGAAGCAGGGGTGCGGCAGAGGGAGAGGGCGAGAGAGAATCTTAAGCAGCCTTCACACCCAGTGTGGAACTCAATGTGGCTCTCCATCTCATGACCCCAAGATCATGACCTGAGCTGAAATCAGAAGTCACTTAACCAACTGAGGCACCCAGGTGCCCCAACAAATACCTTTCAATGGCAATGCTTTCTTCCTATTACAGTCATATTTCTCACGGTAGTCAAATCCTAGAATACTTTACAAATTGATTTTTTAGCTCGATATGTTGAAAGGGTCACTTTTAATTGTTTCCCCTATGAAAGGGAAAGTAATAGGACCGCGAGTGTTAATAGGGGCTAGAACGTGGAGAGTGACAGCTTAAATTCCTCCTGAACTTTAAGGTGCTCAGATTGATAACATCACCAACTGAAATTTGCAAAGCTTGTTTAAATTAGTACCATCAAAAATTAAGAAAATTGTTAAATTTATAACCTCTTGGGATTAAATAGCCATGGAATATTCTAGGGTATGGAGGGAACTGGCCCAGGGGAGATGGCCACTAGCTGATGCTTCAGAGGCCCTGTCCCCCACCTATAATAAATAGCTGAACACGATTCCTGCCCTTCCCCCTCCGCCAACTTGCAGGAAGTGAGCTGGGGCTGACTGGCATCTTACCCTCACTCTTCACCCACCAGCTCCCTCATGATTCCCGACTTTCTGCTCTTTAAGAGCCTCTGGGGGCCCCTGGGTGGCTCAGTCGGTTAAGAGTCCGACTTCGGCTCAGGTCATGATCTCGTGGTTCATGGGTTCGAGCCCCGCGTCGGGCTCTGGCTGACGAGCTCAGAGCCTGGAGCCTGTTTCGGATTCTGTGTCTCCCTCTCTCTCTGACCCTCCCCTGCTCATGTGGTCTCTCAGAAATAAATAAAACATTTAAAAAAAAAAAAAGTGAGCCTCTGGCCACATCCCCTGTCTCTTCGAGGGTGCCTGGAGGGCTGTGGAGGGCTGTGAGGCGTGCTTGGATTTCCCATTCCACAGACACTCAGAGAAGTTAACTTGGCACAAGACTCTCACTTCAATCAGATGTGAATATAGTCTAAACACACAGATGAAACCAGAAGCCTCTCAATGTTTAAGAATCTAGGTTTACACAGCACGAATTCGTGTCATTTTTAGGTAAACACCTCTTGGTGTCTTTTTTCTTCCTTGTGAAAGTTGGGCGGGATACCCTCCAGATCCATTCTTGGCCAAGGCTGGACTGTCCATAGCACTTTCGGATACAGTTGACCTATCTGATTCCCACAAAGTGACAATCTGGCAGTTGTCACAGTCTTCATTTTACGGATGTGGAAGATGCCACTCAAGTAAGGGACCCATCCACGGTTCTGCAGACAGACAGAGAGATGCAGCCAGGAGATGGCATCTACCTCTCCTTCCTGCATCTTTCTGGGCAGATGGAGTAACACCCAGATAAAATAAAATACTCATTTAATTAAATGTTTATTCCGTGAAAGTATGTATAAAAACTTACAAATCTGAGAACTCAACTATACATGAAACAGGATGATGGGATATTCAGTTTTTAACAGATACGTACAGCATAGCTATGAACTCTTTTTCCCTTTCCCCTTCGGTCCTTATTTCTGGCTCCTGCTTAGCCCTCTCACACCATTCTGTTATTGGCCTAAGGAAAGATTCATGGACACACTTTACTGCTTTCGGGCCAATGTTGGAAATCTCAGGTGTTTAAAAAAAAAAAAAAGTGGAGACTAATATCAAAATCGTTCCCCCCCACCCCCAAACGGCAATTAGGTGTTTTTGTCCTGATTTTTCTTTGCCATTTTTGATGCTTCAATGAATGTTGCCAGTAAACTATTAGCATTAGCTTTTAAAGTCATGAAAGTTACAACACGCTTTGCTTACAACTTCCCCTCTTAAGATGCATGTTCCTGCGTCCTTTGTCCTGTGCGCATACACTGATCGGAAGCAGCTGGCTTGGTGTTATAACAAATTTAACACTGGCAACTGCGGGAATGGCATGTCATTCTCTGTTCAGAAAGACTATTGCAACCAACAGTTTTGTTGGAAACTAAAACAGAGTTTTGTTACTCGCTCAGCTTTGAAAGAAGCCAGTAATTCGCTAAGACATGTGCATTAATTCACCTGTTTATAGCAAATGCCCACACGTTTTCTCTTAGAAACACACGCAACTCACAGCTTTGTCATGTTCTGTCCAAAAATTAAGATTGCCATCACATTATTACTTTTTCTCTTTTGTGTTGTTCAAGTAGATTTCTTAACTAATGATTTTTTTTCTTGACTGGACATAATCTCAAAGGATGCATTCTGAAATAAGACACCTGGAGAGTAAATACTAAGAGCGTTTTCTTGGGCTTAAAGTTTCCCCCACACCTTCTAGATTTTGCATAGTACAGAGCCCAGCTGCAGCTCTAAGAAGCGTGCTGTATTTTCTGACACTTTCTGAGAAGGAAGACTTCTTACCCAGGGAAATTCATAATTTTTAGCTTACCAAATTGCATTCTAGTTGTTGTGTTTTGTTAACGTACCCTTCATTAGTTCCGAGTTGGCTTTTAAATCACCTAAAACGTCTCAAAATCTATTTGAGTTTATAAGTACTACTGACCATTATCTTTCCAACATCCCCTGAATTAAAGTAAACATGTTCCAGGTTTATAATGCACAAAGCCTTTACGGAGGAAGGGCTGGGGTCGGGGCGGGCGGGGGCAGGGAGGACACGGGGCACAGGGACCTGGTTGTATCATGCCACGGAGAGCTACAGTTCTGAACTGGGGCAAGGGATAGGGGACAGTCTCTGTAAAAATGACAGTTTTTAAAAAGATGGGGTACATTCAGTCTAACAACACTGTTTCCTGTTCCTTTTTGATGGACGCTAACACTGGGTGGTCAGGTTCCGTTACTTCCGCGTCCCCACTGCCCAGGAGGATGGACCGCCCCTCGTCCAGGGCGAAAACGTCCGAGTTCTGGGTTTGGCAGGAATGTTTCACAACCTCATTGGGAGTCGAGAACGTTTTGTCACACAAGTTGCATTTGTAGGGTTTATTGGTTTGCACCAACATGTTGTCCATCTGACTCCCCTCCTCGAACGTGCAGAGCTCCAGCGTCTGTTTGTCCACCATGGTGTACGTGTCGATGCTCTGATTGAGGCACACGTGCCGGGCGGCCTGGTTGGCCCTGCAAAAACTCTTGTCACAAGTGCTGCATTTGAAAGGCTTCCCGGTGTGTATGTACATGTGCTCCCTCCAGTGGCTCTTCTGGATGAACTTGCGGCCGCAGATCGTGCACTCGTACTTGCGCCTCTTGACTTCCCGCTCTTGGTCCGCCTGCTCTAAGTTGTCAATGTCCGCGATGTCCGAGGGTGGGGGCGTCTCCGAGTGCTGCTGCCCGTCGATGATCGGAGAGTCGGAGATGTGCTGCAGCTCGCTGTCGCTTATCATCCCGGCCTCAGGCACGTCCAGGGCGTCCTTCCCCAGGTCGCCTGCGTTGCTGCAAAGCGACAGGGGCACGCGGCTTTCTCCCGGCTGGCTGGCTGGGAAAGGGACCCCGGTGTGGATCTGGAGGTGTTCCCGCAAACTGCTGCGGAGGGTGAAGCGCCGTCCGCACAGGTGGCAGGCGTAGTACTTGGGGAAGCTCCCGTTCCTCTTCATGATGCTCGGCTTGACGTGCGCTATGGTGAGGGACGCGGGCTGTTCGTCGGAGGAGGAGGCCTCCAGATTGGTCTCCTCCCCAGGGGCTGAGGGAGGCACGGGAGTGGAAACGAGTTCCGGAGACAGCGAGGTCTGCAGCGGGTCCGAGGGGGTCAGGTGTGTCCGATTCGCCTGGGCGAGGTTGGATGTCAGCTGGGAGAGCGGCGGGGCCTCGGACACCTGCTCCTGGCTCATCCTGGACGTCTGAGGCCGTGGCTCTCGCCCCAGCTTCTCGGGGGCCACAGCAATCTTGGTGGCTTGTCTCAGCTGATGATCTGCGATCTGAATGCCGTACAAGGAAGAGGCCAGCGGGAAAACTTGGTCGGGATGAGAAAAGGCTCCTTGGCTGGCCAGGCTAGCCTCCTGGATCAGTGGGTAGGCGTGCAGGAACTTGATCCCCTGTTCCAACCGAACGGGATCAATCAGTTGAGGCGCCATCTTTCCAGTGTACATCAGATGCAGGAGATAGCTGAAAATATCTGGCTGTATGTCAGTTGGTTTCAAACGGACACACTCACTGAAAGAAATAAATGAACAATCTGTAAGGAAGTGGCAACTTGAGTCTCCAATGATAACATGAACTCTGGAGAAAAAAGGGGGGGCACTTTTAAAGGCAAATGAAACAAGAACATTCCCCACTTCTTACTGTTAGTGTTTCGTGAAATGGAATATTCAAGGGGGATAACTGGTACCTATGTAATTTAATTATGTTAAGAACAGAGAGAAATACGATAAATATATTTTCAAGGACTGAGAGAGAAAAAGTTCATGTTAAAGAAATAGGACATCTTAACTCCTACCTAGACTCTTGAGAAACTTTTTCGTCTCATAATCTATGTACAATTCTATCCTATCACACTATATTTTTATGTAGAACTCTGGGAGATCTTTGACTCAAAGTCTTAGGATCTTCTATTGATCCAGTGCCATCCAGAGCTCAGCGGGCAATCTTTTAAGGTAAAACAAGCAATCTACCCGAGAAGAAAGTTTCTTCACTTGTGAAATGACGGGGGGGGGGGGGGGGGGGGGGGGGGGGGAGGGAGGGGGCTGGACTAGAATGAACCAATGCCTGAGAGCAACACAATAAAAGTGGAAGGAAAAGAAAACCTAATTCGGTCGCTGCTCTGCAACTCCCTGGTCTATCTGCAGCATGAAGGTGGAAGAGATGGAGGAACGTTCTAGCTCTAATGGGGCCAGATCACCTTCCCAGTATTGCTAGACTGCATCAAAAAACCGTTCCAGGACAACTTACCAAATCGTCACCATCACCAGAATTACCACTGGGCTTTACAGTCAGTCTCTCATTAAATTGCCATTAATTCTCATTTTACAGACGAAGAACTGAGGCTCCTTGCTCAATATCACAGAGTGATTAGTAAGAGGGTCTAAGTAAATCTCCGTCTAATTCCAAACCCATAACACCAGAATTGTTTAGAGCATGAAAACAATCCTGTGTGGCATTTAAGGCAGATCTGATTATTCCCACTGGACACATCTGGAACCTGAGATCACAAAAAGTTAGGTGATTTATCTGAGACACCTAAAGCAGCTGGTGGTATTGCTGATTTTCTTACTTATACACACTAGTGTTTGCCTCATTCCAGAAATATCACTCTGATCAAGCAGCTAGAATCAAGTCCCAAAGAACTCTTCCTAAACCATCAGTAATGACAGAAATTCTAATGCATCATTAGAAAGCAATGATATAGGGGCACCTGGGTGGCTCAGTTGGTTAAGCATCTGGCTTCAGCTCAGTCCTGATCTCACGGTTTGTGGGTTCGAGCCCTGCGTCGTGCTCTGTGCTGACAGCTCGGAGCCTGAAGCCTGCTTCAGATTCTGTGTCTCCCTCTTTCTTCCTTTCTCTCTGCTCCTCCCCTGCTCATGCTCTGTCTCTGTCTCCCTCTCAAAAATAAACATTTAATAAATAAATAAATATTAAAAAAAATAAAGCCATGATATAGATCTGTATCTATATATAGATCTATATATTATGAGGTATGTGCTATCATTCACTGAGTGAATATATTCTACAGACAATATATACATTTTCAGTTTCAAAGACAGCTTCCTGAATGCCTTTAGAATTTATAATCTTTTTTTTTTTTTTAAGTAGATTTCAAGTCCATCATGGAGCTTGAACTCATGACCCTGAGATCAAGACCTGAGTGAGGTCAAGAGTCAGGCACTTAACCAACGAAGCCACCTCGGCGCCTTCATCATTTTTTATTACACCACTTACTATTATAACTTTTTGTCTCCTTTAGGTGTTTATCTTATTAACAAATATGTTCCAATATGCTAAAATAATGACAGTATACCATGCTCTTCCAAAGTTAGCATTGTATTCTATTTTTTTAAAAAGTGACTTTAGTGGTGATTTGTGACAGACCAGATTTGAGTAATTGCTGTTTTGCTATCAATGTGCATATATTTCAAGATGACTGTGTACAACAGTCATGTGAAAAACATCTGACTACAAAGTATGAAGAGTCAAAGAATAAAAGCTGGCAACACTCTGACAGCAGAAAGAACAGAGCTTATGTGATTCTATTTTTTAAAAAGACACACAGATCACTCATCTTCCTTTGGAGTCTTTTTTACAGTCCTTTATTTATCCTCCTTTCAATAGGAATGCAAATGCAGGCGGTCCTCGCTTTAAGCACAGGGCAACTGCCCACAATACTACGCATACACACTAGGATGCGTATACACTAGGATGTGTATACACTAGGATACGTATACACTACGATGCGTGTATACACTAGGATGCGTATACTAGGGTGCGTTTAGGTGCTCTAGGGAAGTTCAATATTCAGAATAAAGCTTCAGGGATCATGTGTGGGGAAGAATACTGTAATAATGTAAACAGTCACCCCCAAAATTGAGAACTGTGAAACCACAGGCCTTTAGAGTACAAAGTACTCCCAGAAGACTACAGAGCACCTTTCTTCCGCCAGGATGGAATGTTCCTCCACGCAGAAGGAAGGGACCCAGTGGCTTTCCAAAAAGAAAAGGGAAGGGCAGAAATCCAAAGCAGAGCAGCATTTGTGAGCGGGGACTACGAAGCATGGCCTCTTTCTGTCAACATTTTGTTGTAAGTTCTAGAATTTTCCCTCATTTGTTACTGTACAGGCTGTGTCCTCTGTCTACTGCCACCAAGAGTGGTGAACTCAGCAGAGCTCTGGTTTTAAAGAGCTGTGAGCAGTCTCTGAAGGCAGAGGAGGAACGGGGCTGGGAGACTGAGCCCGGCCGGGGCGGGGGCGGGCTCCAAGGTGGCCTGGCGGTGCTGCTGGGAAGGCTCCAGGGAGAGGCAGGCGCAGAGTCTCTGGGGGTTCACGCGGCACCCAGGGCCCAGGCGCCCCAGAAAGCAATTCTCTTCATTTCTTGATCTTAATTTTTTTTTTCTTAAAGCAGAAGTACACATGCACACATATATACATGGAGACCCTTAAAAAAAAGTTATTTGAAAAAGCTCCTTAGGTCACATTGCAGCAATCTCCACCCTTGACTGCTTTCTCTTCCGGGCAGCTGACCTCTCGACTTGCTACAGGCCAGACTTCGGTCATTTCCAAGTTCTTCTGGAAGGACCTAGCTCTCCACAAGATAATTACACCTACATGGTTTGATTGGCAGCTGTCTGCTCGAGGCAACACTTTTACGGGAAAAACATAGTTTTAGCACAGCTACAAGCCCTTCGTGCAAACTTTCACAGCAATTCAGTTTTCGTTTTCCTTCGCCAGAAGATCCAAGTAAAAGATGGGCTTAATGAACTTGGGAAATAACAGAATTTTAAGTAATGTCCGACCTCATCAGGAGGTTGTGCTTAGCAAAACCTGCCTCTGCGGTTTTACTTTTGGGAGCTCCGTGTCTGCAGTCCTGCAGGATTTCAAACTTCCCGCTTAGAGGAATGCACCCGAGACAGAGATAGCTAGGGCTACTACAGGCATTAAGACATGCTTGAGCCAAGTGTGCAAAAAACTATTCTCAGTCCACCTTTTGGTAGTCTGGTCACTGCCTTGCAAAAAATGCCCTGGTTTAAAAGCCTGCCTCTGGCCTTCATGCAGTATTTGCTTTGTCTCAATGAGAAATGGCGCGTGCCTCCTCCGGGCAACAACACTTGATTGCTTATACTTGGGACTCCTATCCACACAGACACCACATTTCCCTGTGACAAAAGCATCTAATTGATCTACATTTAAGTTTCTTGCATCTATTCAAAACTCATTAAGTTGTATTCTTTTACTCCCCCAAATGAAAATCTTCCCCCTTTCAAAGACAAATTTAATTCATTGTGTGGTGACTTCTAAGTGCACATTAGTTATGAAGTCTCCGACAATGCATTCAAAGGGAACATCCTTAGTGTCGCAAGATAAAGCAACCTCTGCTTGCCATTATTTCTATTATTCCCCCATTCTGCTCCTCCAGACATTTAACAAGTGGCTATTATGTACAAATACTGGACCTATACACTGGGGCTTTCAGATTTGTAAAACCCAGTTGCTGCTCTCAAGAAACTTACAAAAGAGGACGGGAGAGAAATACACAAAGAACAACACAGGGAAAATGCAGGATCTTGTAATAAAGTGCTCTGAGATGTGAAAAAGGAAAGAGGTGGCCTTTGATCACTTTGGGGAGGGGTCATGTAAGAGGTGATGGGGAGGGGCTGGGCTGAGGGAGTGGCCCGGTGGGAGGGGTGGTCCCAAGGGGGCTCGTGGCCAGGGAGGCAGAGGTCAGGCTGCCAGCCTGAGGGGCCTTGAAAGAGAACGAGGAATCTGTGTGCTGTTTTGATGCGCGATGGGGACCCTGCAGGTTTGTGATCAAAGGAGTAACACCATGGAGATTTCTGATCCAAGGCATCCTACAGTCAAAGGACTGTTCAGAAATATTAATCTCACAGTCGTGGAAAATGATTAGGAAATGGAAGGAAGAGAGAAGGGGAAGGAACGGACTAATGCAGAACGGGGTGGGGGGGGGTGAGGGAAACATGGCTTGAGGGCCCAGAGGATAGGGTTTCGGAGCGATTTGAAGAAGGGGTCCCTTAGACATAAACAGGGAGGTCAGGGAAGGACTTGGGAAGGCCTAATTCCACTTTAGACCCGCTGATAACTCAATTCAGCCCATGAGCGGCCAGCCTCGTGGCCTTGGGAAGCAGAGTTCTGGAAGACACAGAGAAAGGTCAAGGCCAGAGCTGTAAACTGGTGGTTTCCAGCAGAGGCAAAACCCAGGAGCACTAGCAGCTCCCCTGAGGGGGGTGTATATGGAAAGAAGCACAGAGGGACCAGACCAAAACTCAGCGCAGCTCCCAGACCTGAGAGGGCGGAAAACGGGACATTCTGCCTTATCTGAGTGCAGAGGACGACCCTCAGAGAGGAAGAAAACAGTAGGCGGCAAATGCTGCAGAGGGCAAGGGCACCGGAGGCTGAGAGAAGAGCCATGGTTGTGACGAAGAGGTGACCTTTGCGAAATGATTTCGGTAGAGATGGAGGAGACAGGGCAGTGCCCACGGCAGGAGGGGTGAGGGGCGCGCGAGCCAGGCTGTGGCTCGCCCTCGGAACATTTCCGGAATGAAATCAAGGAGAGGCTGCCCGGTGAGTCAGGTAGACAGCACCACTGGGTGTCAGGGGGACGGGGATCCTTTGGGGACTCAAGCGTGGGGAGAGAGAGAGCGCACACGCACGGTGAAAAGTACAGAACCGGAAAGGAAGAGGCGGCAGGATCTGGGGGCGAGGGGGTCGGAGGAAGGTCACCGTTCCTGGGACACCCGGGGTCCTCTTCTCCAAGGCAGGAGAGATGGGAAGGAAAAACCAACCAAGAGCTAAGGATTTTAAGAGGTTTTAAGAAAGAAAAGAAGGCAACTGGGGGATTCATGCCCTCCAGCCTCCCATTAGACTGGCAGACCAGGATGAAAACTCGGAAAGACCCGGAGGGAAGACTGGGGGGTGGGGTGGGAGGACCCGAGGAGCAGAAGAAAGGATCCTGGAGGCCGCTGTCCATCCTGCAGTGCAGGGGACACCCGGCTGGGGTCCTGGCAGCGGGGCGCTGCTGGGGGCTCGAAGGCCAGGGATTCTCGAGCGCTGCTGAAAGCAGGAGTAACCAAGATGAGCGAGGGGTAAGTGAGGCCACGAGGGAAACCTGGGAGCCCAGAGCCTAGGATTCCGGGGAGCGGAGGTGAGACCCATGGTCCGGATGGGCAAAGAGCAGGTGCGGAGGGAAAGAGGGCCGTGGAAGTTCAGCGCCGACAGTCATTAGATTATTATCAACCACGTTAGTTACCTGGTCTGATGGACAAACAACATCTTAAAGTAATTGGAGAATGAAGCAAGAACTGATTTGTGTGCCTTGAAGTACACATCGCCGATGGCAACCGTGCAGTCACACAGGAAACCAAACTCTCGCTGAGCGTTTAACTGTTGCAGGAGAATAAGTCCATGGTTGGCCAAATCCATTTTTTTAAAAATCTGCAAAGCAAACAATTTTTTTTTTAAGAAAGGTGATTCACAAGTAAGTATGTGTCCTTTATAAGTCAACCAACAGTAACGATCACAGCGAACGTGTCATGCTAACGAGGTTACGTAAACTCACTCACTCTTCACAGCAGCCTGCTGAAGGAAGTCTGTCTTCACTCTCAGTTTACAGATGGTGGCACTAACAGTGAATTGGGGGATTACGTGATCTGCCCAGGTTTACCCAGACGGTTGGCGGAGGGGCCAGGAAGTGGACTCGGTTGTCTGCTCTTGGGACAGCAAACCCCCAGATCGGTTAGTCTTTTAGTTTAAGATTCCAGATGCATATTTTAATGACCTATCTGACTGTCAAATCTTCCCTAGAGACCAATAAATTAAGGTGCCAGGGTGGGGCCGCAGCAGGGTGCAGTGAAGATCTCACCAAGCTGGGTCAGTTTTCCAGCTCCTACTGGCGGGCATGGCCGCTGCTCACAGGGACAAAACTACTCTCTTGGACGTCTGCACTCAAGGCAGGAGGGAGGATGTTGCTCTTCTCCTTTTTTTGTGAAGGAGGAATTGGGCCTTGAGAGGTGTACATAATTTGCCCAGGCCACCTAGCTACAAAGTAGGGGAGCCAAAATTAAATCTGTGTGTTCTGACTCCAAATTCTAAGCTCTTCCTTCCTCACACTTCACCCTAGCCAACCAGTTGGCCTGAATCTGTCTCCAGCAGGGGAAGGGCATCTGCAGGAGACGGCTCATCAGATCTGCAGACTGCTCCTTTCCCACAAGGTATTTATAACAGCCCACTACACACAGATCAGCAACAAACCTAACAGGAGCCTCGATGCTACAAAGAGCGAATGCTTTCTCTCTAAGACTGTGAATAAGGCAAGGATGCCTACTCTCACTTATGAACATAGTACTGGAAGTTCTAGCTAGTGTAATGAAAGGAAGAATGGAAATCAAAGACAGACACACACACACAAAAGAACGAAAACTGTCCTGTTTCCAGATGATGTTGTTAGGTAGAAAAAAAATCCCAAGGAATCTACAAAAGACTCCTAGAACTAATAAATGAGTTTGGCAACACCACAGACAGGCTGTAAGATAAACACATAAAAGTATTATAATTCTGTACACTAACTTTGAACTTGTGACCACTGAAATTAGAAATATAATACCATTTACAATCACTCAAAAAATTGAAATACATATGTGTTGATCTAACAAAACATGTATAGGACTAACAGAACATGCATGTTGAAAACTAAAAAATGCTGAAGGAAAAAAATTAAAGCATAGCTAACAAAGTGGGAAGATGTACTGTATTTACAGCTAGGAAGACTCAGCGTAGTAAGAACATACATTTTTCTCGTTAGTATATAGGTTTGACACAATTCATATCAAAATTCTAACAAGATTTTTTTGCAGCTATAGATAGGGGTATTGTAAAAGGTAGAATGTAAAGCCAAAGAAACCAGAATAGGCTAAAATAATTTTTTAAAAAGAATAATGAATTGGGACGAGTCAGTCGGATTTCAAGATGCATCAAATAGTGCCAGTATCCAAGACCGTGTGGTATTGTCGAAGGGCTAAACGTACAGACCAATGAGACGGAATGAGCACCCAGCAGTGGCGCCACATGAATACATACAGTGGATTGTTGACAAATGCACAAAACCAACTCAGCAGAGGAATAATCTTTTCAACAAATGGCGGAGACCAACTGGACAAAGACCGAAAAAAAAATGGGAGAAAAATCTTAGGAATCTAGCGTTAGGTACAGGGTTTTTATACCTAACCCCAAAAGTATACTGCATAAAAGGAGAAACTAAGTTGGATTTCATTAAAATTAAAAATGTTTGGTCTGCCAAAGGTCCTGTTAAAGGACGATGAAAGGCAAGCTAAAGACCAGGAGAAAAATATTTGAAAACCTTTGCAAACCTCTTGATAAAGGACAGGTAGAGGGAGAATATACAAAGAATTCTCAAAACCCAACAGGAAAAAAAAATCTATTCAGAAAACAGGCAAACAGGCTCGAAGAGACATTTCACCAAAGAGGATATGCGAATGGTAAATAAACACATGCATGAAAAGATGGTCAACATCATTAGCGATTAAGGAAATGCAGATCAAAACCACAATGAGATTTTATTATATGCTAATAAAACGGCCAAAATAAAAAAGAACGGCAACACCAAATGCTGACAAGGATGTCAAGGAAGCGGACTGTTCAAACACTGCCAGTGAGAATGTAAAATGGTGTAGCCACTCCAGAAAAGAGTGGTTTCTTAGAGAAACTCAATATGTAACTACCATCTTAACCAGCAGTTATGCTCATGGACATTTATCCCAGAGAATGAAAACTGAAGGTTCACACCAAAACCCACACATGGATATCCACAACAGCTCCTAACAGCTCCTAACAGTCAAAAGCTAGAAAAGACCCAGATGTCCCTCAGCACACGAAGGGTTAAGCAATGTGGTATGCCCACACCACCGGAAACAACACAGCCAGCAAGGAGAAATGAACTATGATACATACAAGGTGGGTGAATTATGCAGAGTGGAAAGAGCCTGTCCCAAAAGGTCACATACTGCATGGTTCTCGGTGTTTAACGTTCTTGAAGATCATAGGAACAGAGAACAGGTTAGGAACAGAGGGTGAGGGGAGCATGAGGGAATGGGTTTGGCTCTAGCAGGGCAAAGTGAAGGATCCCTTCGATAGGAATGTTCTGGAGCCCAACTGTACAGCATCAGCACCCAGGCTTTGGAACTGCAGTTTAACAAGTAGTTTCCCTTAGAGGAAACTCGGTGAAGGGCTTGCAGGGATCTGTGTTATTGCAACTGCATGTCTATTTCTAGTTCCTTAAAAATAAAAAGTAGAAAAAAAAAAAAAAAAGATAAACCCACCACATACTGATTAATTAGCCAGATTTTTAAAAAAAGCATAAGTATGATGTTTAAACTATGATGTTTAATTCTGTAGAATTGGGAAAGCTAGTTTGGAGAATACATTATCAATTGGCTTAAAAAAAAACCCCAAAAAACTGACCATGACAATTCTTACTCAGCTGATCCAATCCCCCCCACCCTCCTTCCTGTTCCAGAGACGATCTGGCAGATTCAGAAATTAAGAAGTGTTACCTAAAAGGAACGAATGAAACGGATTAATACTGTAAGAGACCAATCGGGTCACAAAGCAAGGATGGTGGATGTCAAATCTTGCGTTTTCTACCAAGAGTTACATCCAAATATGAAAGGTAGGAGGAGCACTTAGGTCTGCAGCGGTTTGGGTACCCATACCTGCACCGTAGGCTCAATTATACATCCAAACCTGTGGGAAGGATCAGGACCTTAGTTCCCCAATATTTCCTGTGCCTGTCAGAGAAGGGGAAAGCACTGAGATTAGGAAGGGGACACAGAAATAAGGCCTGGGGTTCCTGAGGAAAACAAGAGACGGTGCCAGGTTGCAGGGTAGCAGGGATTACAAAGAAGCATCACTCTACCCTGACCTCCACCGGGATAGAACTTTAGAAGCTTGTCTTCAAGGCTGTTCTCTGAAAAGTGCCAGAATACTTTCTTTTCCATCTTACTGATCTGCCTTTCTCTGCAAAAAAGTATAATCTACCTGAAAGAGCAAACTGCGATGAGCTGCTATTTCATGTGTTCTGTCTCTGATCGTGGTTCCCTACGTATTTAGGTGGTACCTTCAGGTGTCATTTCATGGACAGACGGCAGCTGCAAGTGTGAGAACACATTATTATTTATTTCTTGATGAACGGCTATTATTTATGGAGTGTTTCCTTGACCATTCATTTCCATATGCTATTCATTTAATTTCATACTAAGGTACCTGAGGTATTGCTATGCATATTCTATATATGAGGAAACAGGCTGAGAGGTTAGCTAATTTGCCCTTGATTATGGAATCAGTGAGTGCCAAGAAGTGAGATTTAAATAGGGTCATTTGCTTTGTTAGGATGTGCTATGTGCCAGTAGAAATCTTATTTTTTAATAACATGATATAAAATTTTTTTATAAAAACTGTTTAATTATTAAAATTTTTTTTAAATGTTTTATTTATTTTTGAGAGAAGAGAGAGAGGCAGCGTGAGCGGAAGGGAGGGGGTGCTCAGAGAAAGAGGGAAACATAGAATCCGAAGCAGGCTCCGGTCTCAGCTGCCAGCACAGAGCCTGACACAGGCTCGAACCCATGAATGGTGAGATCATAACCTGAGCTGAAGCCAGACGCTCAACTGACTGAGCCACCCAGGAGCCCCTATTTATTTATTTTTTGAAGAGCAACCCAAGGAGAGAGAGAATCCCATGGGGCTTGAACTACGAACACTGAGATCATGATCTGAGCTGAAACCAAGAGTCGGATGCTTCACCGACTGAACCACCCAGCCTCCCCTCAGAAATATTATTTTTATTGCTGCTTTTAAGTATATATACTTGTTACGAGAAATTCAAATATCATGGACACACAGTAGCAAGCTGTCTATTCACCCTCCTCTGCCAGTTTCTCCCCACTCTGGCAACGCTGGGTATTATTACCACTTTTTCAAGAATCTTTGCCAAATCTACTCTCATTTTCCTACCTTGTACGGATTTAGTGATGAGGGGAAGTGTATTTTTATGTTCATTGATCATTTACATTTCCTCCTGTATTCTCTTCATGAGTTCTGCCTGTTTTTCAGTCAGGTTGTTTGTCTTTTTCTTATTGATCTGTAAAACCCTTTGTAATACAATAAAAATAAGCCCTTTACCACAGGTCACTAGTGTTTTTCTCACTTTCTTTTAATTTTGTTTTATAGAGATTTTTTACATATAATTTTACATTTTACTGTCATCACACTTGCCAATATTTGATAGGACTTCGAAGTTTTTGTTCTTACATTAATGGATATATTTCCTCTCCTTCGACAAAGCAAAAGGTAGGGGTTCTCATTCCACAAACAGACTAACAGAAGTATTTTATTTCAGACCATAAGAACGAAGCCATGAGAAA